AAAAAGATGAATAACTAGCTTGTTTCCATCCAGGTGTGAAGCATATAGTAATCACAAAGCGCTGTTAAACAAAATAAGTAAAAACTAGGAATATGCACAATGAACAATGAAAAGAAAATTAAAACACAGCTGCTAGCAACACAAAACCATGTTAAAAAAACATGCTAAACTCAGACGGTAAAACAATAATACCAAAGGAAACTCAACAAATCCACAAAGTTAGCTAAACATAGCTGGCATTGTAGACTGTTTCAAAGTCCTGATGTTACAGACTGAGAGACTGTGTCCTCCCCCAGTCTTCAGTCTTATACTAGCTTCAGCTAAATGCAGCTAGCTGCAAACAAGACAGTGAGCAGCAGTGTGTTTATCAAGAAGTTGAGATAAATAGTCTGGAACAAGCTAATTTTCATAAACAGATACATGAACTACAAAATAGTGGAAGGCAGATTTTGTTCCTTGTAGCCAGTCACAGGAGCTGATTTCCCAATTTCTTTATGCTAAGCTAACAAGGTTCATGCTAATAATAGTATTCTCAGCCTTTAACCCTGTAAGAGTTTTTGAGACCTCTACATTATTAAAAAAAAAAAAACAAACAAAAACAAAACCCACAAACAGAACCCTAAATAAATTGCACAATATATATATTTTAAGCAGTAGATTGCAAAAGAAAATAAAAATGCTAGTTAAAATATAACTCAAATTAAAACTCATATATGCAAATTAATAATTATAATTTATGACTCCTTGTTTTTATTTGTCAGAGGGTTCAATAAACAGAATTTTCTGGAAATTATTTTGTGGTTCAGGCTTTTTAGGGGTTTTTTTTGTCATAATTGTGTAAATAACATTTTGAATTTTGCTAAAAATAAATAAAAAATTCACGTTTTATATGTCACAGGATCTTTTTTTTAAACTTTTGTTTGGTCGTAGTTTTTTTGAGGTTATAGTTTGTTTTTTTCTTAGTGTTTTTTTTTTTTTCTTAATGTTTTTTTTCTTATTTTTTTTTATTTTAAGCATCTTTTTTGGTGGTTTCTGTTTCCAGCTTCTTTTAAAGTGCCACATCCATCTCCCTTTTTCTCCTCCAGCTTGCTGCTTGGATTATTCTGTATTTTACACCGGCTGCTGGAGCTCACCCTGCTGTGGCCATGAGTGCGTGCAGCAGGAAGGCCTTGACTTTGCTGAGCAGTGTCTTTGCAATCAGTGGCCTGGGGCTGCTGGGAGTGGCAGTGAGCACCGACTACTGGCTCTACCTGGAGGAGGGAGTCATTATGCCTCTGAACCAGAGCACTGACATCAAGACCTCGTTGCACTCTGGCCTCTGGAGAGTCTGCTTTCTGGCTGGTTAGTGGCTAGATTTTAAAAATTAAGGAAATATGTGGGTACGGCTATCTTTGTGCTCCTAAAATTTGTCAGTTAGTCATGGATGAATCAAAAGTGTAGAACAGATAACGCCACTGGATTTTACACTCTCGCATTCAAGATCTTCATCATCTCTACAGTAAAGGTGGCGACAGCAGCAAGCTGTCACAGTGATGTATCATCATGTAAACCACCAGCATTCATATTCACACACATTCACAATTACTTCATCACTGTGTGTGTGAGTGGGAAAGAGAGCTTGTGAGTAAGTGTCGAGTACAAGTAAAAGTGAGAAAAAGAGCAATGAGGAGACAGAGGATGAGTCCTCGTGTCTGTGTGACGTTGTCCTGCACAACGTCATGCCTGTGTAGCATTTTAGAGCATTATCAAGCTAAAAAAGGCCATTAGGGAATATTACTGCAGTGAAGTAGTGGATATGTTCTACTTATATGTGACTATCAAGGTCAGAGCTGCAGTGTACTGTGTGTTCTGCACTGTGATTAATTTTCAGCAGGTTATGCTACTGTCGCTCCTCTTTGGGAATCAGAACATGCAAAAACTGACAAATTTGGACAAAGTCACTCCAATCTTGACACTAGTGAAGGTTTGAATCTTCACTAGCCATGTTGTTCAAAAACATCAGATAATCTTTTGTACCATCAGCTGTAGCTGTCCAACCTTCTCGTGTCCTCTTTTGGTCCCTCTCTATGTTAGTAACACTGCTTTTACTCTTTGTGACAGGAGTGAAATTATAGAACAGGGTTACATAATGTGTAAAAGTACCCTAACCTCTGCTGATGCAGTACCTATAGCATTCCAAGTCTCCTCTGGCATTAACATCAGCACAAAAGCTGTGCGCCGGGAGCTTCACAGCATGGGTTTCCATGTCTGAGCAGCTTCTGTATTTGGGATGGCTCAGTACTTTTGTCCATATATTTTGTCTAGAATCATCTGGGCTAGTTTGTGTATTCACAGCATTTTGTAAATGTCCGTATTACCCTAAGTGAGTCCCAAGACTCCACAGTGAGAAGGTCTAAGTGAGTACAGTGGAAAATAAGTAGCACAATTAGACAAAACAACACATTCCCACATACTGACACTCGGTCATCACAGGAACGACCAGAGGAACTAGTCCCTTTCTCAAAACTACCTTTGGTTATAACGGATAAGTGTCCCACGACCAAGCTTCAACTCTATTATTTTAAAGCTTGTTTTCATTTAAATGGTCACATTCACATAAAGAAAGCATGCACAGAATCACCAAACAAATCTGCTCAAAAACAAACAAACACACAAACAAAAAATGTTTCACAAGTTTGACAACTTTGCCCCAAAATATGTTTTAAAAAGGTTTTTTCCCCTTGTGAGGTAGACTTCTACTACACAACATTATAAGTTCATTTACAACTCATTTATGAAATCTCTGATCATCCAAGAGCAGCTGAGCAAACGTCATTCAGCAAAAATAATGAGTAGATATCCCTGCCACCACATCTAAAACTGTTGTGAGCCTGTGTCAGTATGTGTCATATGATTGTCACTAAGTCAGTTATGTGGGGCAGGAACTCTCCCACAGATTTTTATTTAGGACTCTTTGGCTGCCATGTGTCTCTTAAAATGCCTCTGCCCACATGCCGACCTCTTCTCTGCCTGTTTCAGCCTTTTGCTTCTGTTCTCACTGATTGTTAAACCTTCTTTAAGCTCCACTTTAATTCTAGTCATTTAAATAACTGATTTTTAATCCTCAAAGAGTTCTGCACATCTGTTTGTCAGATGTTTGCGAGGGTAAATTCGTATGAGTCCCGCCCTCACTTCTGTCTCGTTCCTTTGCAGGTGATGAGTCAGGTCGCTGCTTCACCATCGAGTACATCATGCCAATGAATGTCCAGCTGACGTCAGAGTCCACAGTGAACGTGCTCAGTAAGTACCAGCAGGAGACACCGCCTCCAGCTGCAGCTTTAAAATAAGTAATCACAACTAGCACTTGTTCATATAAAAGGCTGGGGGCATTTTTCTGTCTGAGAACTTGTTTTCCAATAAGCTCGTGTTCAGAAGTCTGAATGCAGTGAGACCACATACGTCTGACTCATCTGAACCCTCGCGTCGCTGCCTGCTCCTCCCTGGAATACTTATTGCCTCTTCACAGACAGTCCTTCAGTAAAACTCAATGTCAAAACTTAACTGAAGGATAAATCACTCCAGTTAGTCGATATAATGAGCTCCAGTGCAGCGCTCCATTTGGGGGAATTTTATTCTAGTTTTTGTATTTCAAGACTCATTGTTCTCCATTGTTCTCTTCTGAGGTTCTCTAGTTTGAATGTAAAACTATTTTCTATCAAAGACGACAAATTAAAAAACTGCTGTATAATTAAAATAGATCAAAACAGGCCCTAATTTCCCTTTGTGATATTAAGGTAATCTAAATGTCATTTTTTCCAATTTCCATATTAAAAGACTTTTCTTCTTCTTTTTTTCTTATTTATAAGTATTTAGTATTTTTTTAATATCTCAGCTTCTTTGGCTCGATCATTTGTTTAGTGTTTTTGTGCTTAAACAGCAGGTTCCTTCATCTACTCTTTATCCTCCTCTTCAGAGATGATCCGTTCAGCCACTCCGTTCCCTCTGGTCAGCCTCTTCTTCATGTTCATCGGTTTTGTCCTCAATAACATCGGCCACGTCCGCCCTCACCGCACCATCCTGGCATTTGTCTCTGGAATCTTCTTTATCCTCTCAGGTAAGGCAACTCCTCCTTTCTCTGGATCATCTCTTGTCGCGTCTCCCTTATACTTTTTTAACATCCAGTTTCTCCGTCTCTCAGGTCTGGCTTTGGTGGTGGGCCTGGTGCTGTACATTTCCAGTATAAATGATGAAATGCTGAACAGGACGAAGAGCAGTGAGGCCTATTTTTCCTATAAGTACGGCTGGTCCTTTGCCTTTGCTGCCCTCTCCTTCCTGCTCACTGAGGTGAGAAGCTGAACATAAAAAAAGAAATGACTTTTACTGCTGTTTGGCACGGCTGCGGATGCAGCATCCGTCAGTTCACACGCTAAAAAACATTCAAGAAGAAACATGTTTACATGAATAAATCTAGATAACATAAAAACACTGAGCTCTCATTGCCGCTGTGCACTTGTTGGCATGTGTGGTAGTAACAGGAAGGTAAATAGGAAGGATTTTATTTTGAAATCTCCTCCTTAAAATGACTGTGCTCGTAGTATTGAGTGTTTACTGCCCTCCAGGGTTCACATTGAGGAAATACAGGATTACCTCAGGTAAACAGTTATTATGATATTATTATTAACATGCATGGATACAGATGTTTACAGTATTCATATACTAGTTATTCTAATATACTATTGAATTGATAAAAATGTAAACTTTCAGTTATCCTGTATTCATTACTTGTGTTTTTGCGTTTGCGTGTCATTCTGTCTGTAAACACAATGGCTCCAAAGTTTTAAATGAATTCGTCGAGATGTAGATTGACTGATTTATTGGTCGAAAATTGACAAAAAGCCTTTTAACTTAAGTGTGGAATATGTTGTCAACATATAGAAAGTACCATTTAAAGATTTAAAATATCACGTTACATTTGACCTCTGACCTCTCCTTCAATGTCAATCAATTGATCTGAAGGTCAAAGTAATGAAAATGCTTTATAGAGCTTATCAAGGAGACAACAGGTTTTCAGACTGATGACAACATGTTAGCATTTTTGAGTACATGTTGTGTTATGTACATTACATTAATGTGTTACAAATGTTTAAATACGTTCAACAAGTCAACAATTTGAATACATGAACAATTTTATAATTGTTGGGTTTTTCGGTTTTTGTGTTTGTATTAAAAAAGCAATACTCAAAATTGTGTCAAGTATATTAAAATAGGTTTCAGAAGGGAAAATAACAGCTTCTTAAACAAACTGAATATATACAAAATACAATGGTATTCCCTTCAAAGTAAAAGCTGCCCAGAGAGTGAGCTGCCTTGTTGGAGGTTTGGTTTCACTCTTGTTTTTGTTTGTTTAGTTTCTTTTTCGTGTTTATAGCTCATGAGCTCATCAGAGGTGACTCGCAAATCATTAGAATATTTAATTTGTATCGAAGCGTGGTAATGCAAAGTCCACCTGCTCACAGTGCCAAAACTACTACCAAATGATTTGCTGACCATATTATTACTGCGCTTGATTGACCAGCGAGCTCACCTGACCTGAACCCTACAGAGCATCTTTCAAGAGGAAGATGAGAAATACCCAACCCCAAAATACAGACAAGCTGAGAGCTGCTATCAAAGAAACCTGGGCTCCAATAACACCTTAGCACAGCCATCAGACACCTCCACCTCCATGGCACGATGCACTGATGCAGTAATTCATGGTCCCAACCAAGTACTGAGTGTATAAATGGACATACTTCTCTCTGTGTTCTAATAATTTCAGATTGTTAATTACTGAATGTCTTAAGCTATAAGCCATAATGATCATATTGTTATTTATGAATAAACTGACTCTTCCTCACTGCAGAGCGCCGGCGTCATGTCAGTCTACCTGTTCATGAAGCGCTACGCAGCAGAGGAGCTCTACCAGCCCCGCCATCCCAGCTTCTACCGTCCTCGCCTCAGCAACTGCTCCGACCACTCTGGTCAGTTCCTCCACCCGGAGGCCTGGTCACGTGGACGGAGCCCCTCGGACATCTCGAGTGAAGCTTCCCTTCAGATGAGTACCAGCTACCCTGCTCTCCTCAAATGTCCTGACTATGATCAGGTGTCCTCTTCGCCCTGCTGAAGGGCGGTTAGTAACCTACCAGTTACTAAAGAGTCACCGAGGCATTGACAAAAGGCCAGAGTTTAAGATACAAGGTTGATATTTAACTGTGAGTTTGCACCATTACGACCGTGGTCAAGTGATTTGGAAACCAGTAATTTTCAGCAAGTTGTTGTTTGTTTTTACGTTTTTTTTTTTTATCAGGTCAGAAAAGATTTTGGGGAGTTTGTTGTTGTAGCAGACACGACTGCAAAATTTGCAGATTTTAGAAGAAACAATACATGGTCATTGTGCCTCTGCTTCTGCAAAGATCTCAAAAACATTTAAATATTTTTTTTATTTTCATGTTCAGAAGGTCAAGTATAGATTACTTTGAACTGTGTTTCCAGTACTTTCCAGTGCCTCACAGCTGTTTCTTTGCTTCCTTTTGTGATTTAAATGAGTGTGTCATGTTTTAGGACCTTCTATATGTGCTAGTATAGATCACATCAGTGCAATAACAATAATATCAGAAGGCACAATAATATCTGTGGTTGATGTTTCATTGGATGTGCAGTTTCAAAAGCACACATTTCGCTCAGAAGTTGCTCATGATCACAATCAGCAATACCTCTGCAATCAGAGCCAAATGTAAAAAAAAAGAGCAGAATGTAAAATGTGTCCGGTCGTTTGCAGTTTGTATTTCTACAGAGTTTCATTTACCTCACATTTGTGTTAAACTATGAGCATGTTATTGGTTACTGTTTGCTGCAAAAAACACTTGGCTGCCTTTATTTTCCCTTAAAACTGAAAACAAGCCAGTAAAACTGCCTACCCACCTACTACACGTGAGGCTCCATCTCACAAACCCTACAGACAAAGGCTGTTGTGCAGTTGAAGGGCAGTTCATTCAGATGTGGTTCTAATTTTCAGTGATGTTGTCATTTGACACCTTCAAAGGCAGCAGGAAAACCGGATTGTCATCAAACTAAAGGCAACATATTCAAGACGTTATGTTGAAATGCCTTTGACTCTTTATTTAGCTATACATTGACCCAGAATATAACATGAAATCATAGATGCTTGTTTTATATACACTGGTTTTTGTTTATATATATATATATATATATATATGTCCAGATTACATGAATTCATGATGTTGTTCCTGGTGGAGCGGCTAGAGATCTTTGTTAAAAGGGCGTTGCATCTGTAAAATAAATGTCTGCCATCCAGTTTTCTTTTTTTTTTTTTTTTTTTTTTTAGCGCTTTACATTTTACCGCTGTGATTCCATATTTATCCGCTGGGAGGCAGTGTTTGTCCTTTTCTTTCCTCAGCTCATTTTTTTTTTTTATCAGTGTGCAAATCTGCAAAAACAAAACCTGAAATAACCTTTCTTATTTACGCACATTTCAAATCCGAAATACAAACACTGACTACCTAAGCTTACGCAGTGACTAACTGAGTCAATCTTTCTCATTTACAGTACTGTGCAAAAGTCTTGAGCCATCCCTGAATTCTTTAAAAATAGTTTGCTTCTAATCTTCGGAACGTCTTTCAGCGTTTTCTTTGGACGCTGCTCTTTCACTCATTGTCAGTTCATTTCCTGATCGTTTCCTGATGATTTAATTTTGTTAAGTCGCTTAACTCTGACCGATCAATCGTTCCAGCATAAAAAAGGCACCTAACTCAACGGATGAACTTGAATTAGGGGCACTTTATTACTAACAGCCTGTAATAAAAACACACACTTTATCCATTTCTCTAGTGAATGCAGTAATGCACCAACAAAGTGACTCCCAAAATGACTGTTAGCTGGAAACGGGGCATATTTCATTAACAGTATCTGAAAGGCATGTTCTATGAAACAGGAAATCAAAATTGGTCCCAGTGGATGAATGCCTGTCAAGAAGCAGGGAAACAGGGTTTTCTCCCTGAGGTACGAAATTAGAGTAACATTATTGAAGCAGTGTGGGATCATCTTGATGGAGGGCAAAACAAGAACCATCCAACATCCAAAGAAGAGCTTTGAATGTCTTGCAAGAAGCCTGGAGAACTATTCCTGAAGACTACTTATAGAAATGACAAGAAAGTTTGCGTAACAGACTCCAGGTTGGTTGGAAAATAAAGGTCGTTGTACCAAGTATTAACTTTTAGGCTTGCTAGAATTGTACACAATCTGTACAATCACTGCACCTAGTTCACATTTTCCTTGCAAAATATAGAGAAATGAGGGGCAGCTCAAGCCTGCTGCGCAGTACTGTAACTGTGATGTCTCACTCTGCTTTTCTAATAAACTGTGTTAAACCAAGTGTGTCCATCATTATGCTACCTGCTCAAGTACAAGTCATAGCCACAGTTTTACAAACCTGTCTTATAGTCTTATAGACTGTCCGATTACTTTTGAGCCTTTGAAAATAGGGACCTGTGTATAAAATGGACTGTAATTCCCAACCAGTTAATGCTCCACAAACACACAGTATTGTTTATGTGATTTAAGTATCACAGACATTTTCAGCATTAGCTCTCATTTCCATTAAGTCGTTTTTAGTATAATAACATTACACTGCAATGAATGGAGTCCCCATGGATGATAATCAGCTGAGCACTGGGTCCATAATACTTTAATATACTATTTTAGTGATTTATTAGGTACACAATAATTAAGTATATACAGACTGCTTTTGAACTGGACTGTTTGTTTTTCACATTAATACAATTTGCACACACAATTTTACCTCCATAAAACATACCCGCATACAAAGTCATGCGGGTATGTATGAAGTACACAGGTGGGTCAAATTTGATTATGAGAGCTCCAAAATGCAGGAATAAAAGCTATCGACTTAAATGATGAGATGTGCTGTTACATAAGGAGAGCTGTACAGGGCCATAGAAATACATCAACCCAGCAGCAGGACCGGCATCTGTTCTGCCAGAGTCCTATAAGATTATCTCCAGTGGGCTACTGAGGGGCATCTTTCTGACTAAACTATCAGAATCAGACTCCATGAGGGTGGCATGGGGGCCTGCTATACTTCAGTGGGACTTGTGCTCGCAGCTTGACAGGTGGCACACCAGAACAGACACATCTGCCACTGATGGTCCACTCGTTTCATAAACTCAGTGGCAAGAGTGTGCAGGCATTTCCTGGATAAAGGAGGCACTAATGCCTCAGGAACCTCTGGGATGATATGTATCAGGGTATCCAAGGCGACCAAATAGAGCTAAAGCTCATCAATGCTCTCATTGGACTGTGAGGACGTCCCTACAGGACAACATGTTCAAACCTTGTCTAATCCTACCAGTTGTGACAAGAACACTAGCAAAAAGCAAAATTGGAAAATAATCAGTCAGGAGGGATAAGAAGAGAGTAATGATCTGTGACCACCACCTGTGAAACCTTTCCCTAGAGCTGAACACATCTGTATACCAGAAGTTTATCTGGCTTTGTCTTACCGTGCTGACTAAATATTCCCTTATTTTATTTATTTGTCTTATGAATCTACTAAAGCTGTTATTATTTAATAGGGATGTTTTTCTTAGGTTTATTATGTAACGAGCCACTTATATTCACATCATTGACATAAATGGTGTGTACAAAATAAGAGAAACCCAGTGAGCACTGTAATAATCATAAACACTGAATCTACTGCATCTAGTTATTTCTCTGAACAACCTGTAGAGGGTGCTATTGCTTCACTTATTGTGCACGTTAACACACAAATCCAATAGGTTATCCTTCACCTTTCCCTACTTCCTGTTAATTTACCACGTGTTCGCCAGGATGCAGGTATACATCACTGCTCCCCATCATGGAGGATGACCTCCGCATTCACAAAAACAGCTCATCGTGCTCTAAGCAGCCTGAGTGCTTCATTAATAACAGCTCATTATTTATGCGAACAAGTAGGTCAGGACCGGCATTAATAATGAACACACCACAAATCCGCTTTATGTATACTTTATGTAGATACACGTAATGTACAACGTGACCAATAGCTTTTACAGAGAATATAAAAGTTAATGTAACTATAAGCCCACACAGGGCAGTAGAAGATAATATCATGCCCTGACCACAAGGCTTTCATTGTATTTTACAATTATATAGAAAACTACTGGTGTTTTTGACATCATCATCAATTATATAATCACCATCACCGATATTACTTTAGTATAATCATCATCATATTCACTATAATCTTCATCATCATCATAAATACAACCACCTTTCTCACTCAGTCATGGCTTTTTAAACGGCGTTGTCACAGTTATTTATCCAATATTCATCATCCCCATATATTTTATAATGATTATGTTTAAGGCTTTTGCAAAGAAGACCCCAAACTTCAGCTGATGCAAACTGCCAGTCGGCTCAAACATGGTTACACACAGAGTTTGTGCATACTACAACAAAGAGACCAGAAAGCTATACATTGTATATACAAACATAACTTAGGCATACACTGCTGAACATTTACAGGTAGTATTAAACCATTTCACAAATGAAAATAAATACAAAAATGATAGCTGGTTATTAGATATAGAAATGTTCAAAGAGAAGAAACACAAAGGCAAGCAAGGATCTTTAGGAGTACGAACCAAATGCAAACAGGATCACAACAACACACCGACCTTCACTCACATAGGCCATAGATAAGGGAAAGGAAAAGAAGAAGCTTAATTGGACTGGTACCTAACTGGGCTTCTGCACAGCCAAAAATATAACCCACTCAGTAGACAGAAATGACTTTCTCAAATGAAAGCGCTCTGAAAGTTCTAATCCTTAAGATATCAATGAAATGAGATCCTGGTTTGACAGCTGCCAACAAATGTTATCCTGCTACTGTTTCACGTTAAAAGCATTTAAAAAGAGGGCTTTTATTGTGAAGCAGTCATAGGTACATAATATATTTCTCACTAAGATTAAGGCTGATGGAAATGGGTTACCCGATATTACATATGTAAAATATTTAAATAGTATATTTGCTATTTTTAAAAAATAATTCAATTAAAGGTGAGGAAAGGTGTGAAAAAGTCTAATTGTAATCAAAGTCAAAACACTAAACAGCAGACTGTGCTGTAGTTCAAACATTCACTTCTCGAGCTGAAGATGCTTGGGTCGATCTGCAGAGGAGGTGCAAACGTGTGGGAGCTACCTGCTCTGGTGACCCCTCGTAAGGGAGCAGATGTTCGGAAATGTGTGACAGGATACCGTCAAACCAGAGGTGCTGAAATCTTAAGGATTGCAACTTTAAGTCCACAAAGCGAGTTGAGTTTGAAGCTTTAGCAAAAGCACCACTGCTACTCAGCTAAAGTAAGAAAGGATGCACGTTACAAAATTCTCTGCTCCACACAGATAAATGAAATCAGTCCAGCTGACTGTAAAGAACCTAAATCTAAGCCATCTTTTTGTTGTTGTTGTTGATGTCCTCTGAGGTTACTCTTCAGCCGTGGCACCTTGAGAGAAGAATTCAGCACCAGAGTGAGATGACGACGTGGTCCAGGTGAGGTTGCACTGCGGTCATAACCACGTCCCAAACGTGTCCATCCATCCCCTCATCCCACCTCCCCCCTTCTCCAGCAGTCACTCTTACATTTTGCGCACCGTGTCAATGACCACACATCTGAACTGATTCTGAATAACAACTTTTTCATAAAGCACAATGGAGGGAACACTTGCATCACTTATGCACCCATACTGTAGATGCGGTATGCACCGATAGCATGCACACTGCTGCATACACACAAATACAAACATATTGGTCTACAATAACCCACATGCATGCATGTGCACCTGAAACATGGCAGTTGGGCTTTAGGGAAACCTATAAACCTCTTATAAGCATGACTGGGGAGGTAGGGGGGTGTATATGAGATGGAGGAGAAACTACTGGCTGGAGCGCTGCTTTCTCCCCAGCAAGTGTGTGATGTCTCCCCAGCAAGTGCATACAACTTGTGGAGAGTCCAGGAAAGAAACCAAAGTCTGCCTTCGGGGTTGAAGTCAGCTCTGTGCTCTTCAGTCCAGCTTTGCAGTGTGTGTGGTTTATGAATGCATGAACTTAAGGAGATAACGATGGAGGGGGTTTGGAGGTTGACTTGATTGTCCCTCTTCATTTCTTGTTGGCGATGCGTCTCTTCCTGGTGGCCAGCATGTCGTAGAAAGGATCTCTGCTAATGCTTGCCCTAGAGAAGCCAATCAGAGGACAGCGATGAAATAAAT